CTTTCCCCCCCCCTTTCCTTTTTTTTCCCCCCCTTTCCCCTTTTCCCAATTTTTTTTAGCCTTTTCCCCTTTAAAAAACATCTATTCTTTTCCAAATTTATTGCCCTTTTCCTTTTTTTCCCCCTTCCCTTAATATAAAACCTTTTTGGGGGGGGCATTCCCCTGCTACCTCTCTTCATTTTAAAATTCCTTTCCCCAAAAATTTTTAAAAAAAAACCTTTTTTCACGGGGACTTCAGGAAATTTTTGGCCCCTTTTTCCCCCCCCCAAAACCCCCCCCCCCCCACCCCCCCCCCCTTTTTCCCCAAAAAAACCCCCCCCCAAAAACCCCCCCCCCCCCCCCCCCCCCCCCCCCCCCCCCCAAAACGGGTTTTTTTTGGGGAGGGGGGCCCCCGGGATTTTTTTTCCGCGACAAATCAACAATTTAAAAATCCCTGTTTTTTGGGACCCTTGGTCCCTAAACCCCCCCTTTTCCCCCCCAAACCCGGGGGCGCCCCATTTTCTTCTTTCTTTTTCCCTTTTGTCCCTTTTTCCCCCCCTAAAACGGGTAATCCCCGCCTTTTTAAAAAAATTTAAAATCCATTTAAAAAATCCCTCGTTTTTTACCCCCCCCCCGGGGGGCCCCCCCCCTTTCCCTTCCACCCTTTCTTTTCCGGGGTTCCAATTCTTTTTTTCCCAAGTCATTTCCCCCTTTATTTTTTTTACTTTTTTCAATTTTTTCACAACCCGGTACCCCCCCCCCAAAATTTAAAAATTAAAAAAACTATCCAAATCCCCCCCCGCCATCCCTCCACAAATTTAAACCCCCTATCCCTCCATCAAGCCACCTATCCCCCAACAGCCCCGCCTGTCCCTCCCAAAAGAAAAACCCCACCTGTTCCCCCACCACAACTCCACCCCATCCCTCCACCACAAGTCCCAGCCCCGCATCTATCCCTCAGACGCCAGGACAAAGGTTTTAAAAATCGCCTGGGACGGTAGTCAAGCAGCTGAGAGAAACGAAAAAAAAGGCTAAACGCGAACGGAAAAATTTAAATTTAAATACGAACAAAATTGAGAAGGAGGCAGAAAGGGGAAAAAGAGAGAGAGGGAGAGAGAGAGACGAGAGAAGGGGAGAGAGAAGGGAGAAGAGAAGAGAAGGGGGGAAAGGGGGAAAAGAGAGAGAGAGAGAGAGAGGAAAATTTAATGAAATTTTTATGGCCCAAAAAAAATAAAAATCTTTAAAAAAAAGATTCGGTAAAAACTCTTTGTTTGTAAATAAAAAAAGGAACCCCTTAACCTAACCCTTGCAAAAAAACATCTTAAAAAAGGGGGGAAAAAAGAATAAAAGAAAATGAATAAGAGTACACAATGTGACTTATGCCAAAATGGGGTTAAACCATCAAAAAATTTTTTTTCACAGTCACTTCAACAAGAAGACAACCAAAAGAATTACAACAGCTAATAGTTAAATACACACCCCCACAACCCACATATATACCCAAAACCCGCATACTTTTACAATGGGGTTTCAAAAAAAACACGGGATGGTCACTGAGGGCCACACTCACCAGTTCCTTTACGCCGTGGCCTCGCCGTGGCCACTGAGTGTTTTGCGACCCTCAGCAAGTGACACTCAAAAAGGGGCCCCAGCAAATTTCCTTATTTATTAAAAAGTCCAAACACACTAGTACAAAGGGTCTCCATATTCCCTGGGCGGAGTTGGGGTTTTTCCCCGAGAAGGAAAAGAAGTTTGGCATTTTTGCAGATCCTTTCCAAATAGGTCTGACAAAAATTACTGAGGGTAGCATAACATTTTTATTATCAAAGCTTGAAAGGGGGAAGGACCGCCAAATTGCAAACTTCCGAAGAAAAAAAGACGGAACAAAAATCCCAACATGGTGTAGAACGGGAAGAACAAGACGTGAACAACCCCACCAAAGGAGTGAAGGGGAAAAACAAGACGTGAAAAAAACCCCTCAACATGGGATGTAAACGGAAGAACAAGCGTGAAAAACCCTCCCAAAAGGGTGTAGAAAGGGAAGAACAAGACGGAACAACCCTCACCAAATGGATGAAACGGGGGGAAAAAAAAACGTGAACAACCCTCCCAAAAATGGATGTAGAAAGGGAAGAAAAACTGAAAATCCCCCCAGGTTGGGGAAAAAAAAAAATTCCCCCCAGGGTTAAAAGGGGAAAAACCCGAAAAAGGTAAAACCAAATTCGGGATTTTTTGGCCAAAAACATTTAAAAAAATTTCGCATTCGGGAAACTGAAAAAATGGTTTAGAAACCCGACAAATTGATAAATGAGACCCCCAAAGCTGAAAAATTTTCATTTTTCAAAAAATTTTACATTTTTCTGTCCGCCCGAGCAGTAAACACTGGCAAAAACAAAAAAAAAACTTTAAAAACTCCGGGGGGAGGGGTTTGGGGAAATAATAATATTAAATTTTTAATATTTATATTAATTTATAATATATATATAAATATTATATATATATAAAATTTTATATATTAATTATATAATCAGAACATTGCGGAACAAGTGAAGTTTTCAAGAGGAAAACCCGGAACAGTTTCTAGGGTGCCAGATCAACCAGGTGTGGCCTCTGCAGGGGCATAGACGTGTGTGTGTTTTTGACACCAGCAGGTGGCCACTGCGACATTACCCCCCTGCCGTGCTAAAGCATTGTTATTGGAGGAGCGATTCAACACCCTTATAATTCATTCAGTGCCCCCCCTCAATGCCATCCCCCCCAAAGCCTCCCTAACCTTTCAGTCCAACCCCAGTATCACCCCCCCCAGTACGTGCCCCCACCCCCCAGTGCCACCTGACACCCCCCCGGCCCAAAACACGGTGCCACCACACTAACAAAACATGTTAATGTTTCTTCATTTTTTCTTTCCAATCATTTGCTCCTCCTCTCCCCCCCCCCCCCCCCTTTCCCCCCCCTTTAAAAACTCTATCCCTTTCCCTTTTTTCCCCACCCTATCCCCCTCTCCTTTTCCCTTTTCCCCCAAATTCCCCTTCCTTCCCTCCTTTCCTACCCTCCCCCGCTCTTCCCCAAAGCCATTTTCCCTATTTCCTTTTTTTCACCTTCATTGGGTCGCTTCGGGGTCACCGCCCCCCCGGGCCCGTCCCAGACCAAACCCCCCGGGTTTCTGGTCTGATCAAAGTTACTGGTGTTGCCGCCTCAGTCCAACGTATGCACACAAAAGGCAGATCAGGAAAATATTTGAGGAATCGTCGGTTCCCCCTTGAAAGACAGCCAGGGGGGGCTGTTGGTAAACCCCTTTATGCTGAAAAAAAGGTGTGAAGAGTCGTGGGCCCTTAACATTATTAGTTCTCTCTTGTGCTCATTTCTTCCTTTTTTTTAATTGGAAGTACCTGACCATCCCCGAACTTTTCTGTTCATTAGCATTTTTTTCGGTGTCAATTTGGGGACCAATCCCTTTCCGTATCTTCCGGTAGATCCGTGTTAACTTTCTCGCCTATGCTCCAAGGAGCATATTTCTTGGGCGTCTGGGCCCCCTTAATTTTGGGGGGTTGGTTTTTACACGCGTGAAGGGTTTTTGGGGTATTTTTCCGTTTTAGCAATTTGCCGTCTTGGAGGTAGCCGTTAGTCCTGCAATTTTTTAAACCCAAGAGAAAAAGGACTTAAAGAAAATTTATTATTGGCTTGGCATTTGTCCAACGTATTATTTTATTTCAGTAAATTTTATTGTTTTTCCTTGTTTTTATTTTAAAAACTGTGGGGGGCGCTAAACCCTTAGGGTTATACAAGCATGGGGGGGGAAGGAAGGTATTTAGGCTCAATTTTGGAACTGGAGCCCCAAAATCCAATTCCCTAGTCAAGAGCCCCTACCCGCGTCAAAAACCCTCTTGGGGGTGTGTTCCTTGAGGTGGGGTTTCTGAATTTTCACTGCAATTTGTCTTAATTTTGTTTAGTGGTTTAAATTTTGGGTTGTACATGATCTTGTTTTTATTTTATCATTCTTAAAGGGGGAGTAACTGAAATTTATCTTCAGTGAAAATCAATGTTTCTATGGTTGCCATTTTTTTAAAAAACTTTTTTTTTCGTCTGCAAAGGATTACGTGCTAATTTTGTCCCGCTATGCCCAAAATTTAATGAAAAAGAGAAGTGGGGGGCGAGCACCCTTCCCTTGGGGGACAATTTTTTTTCTTGGGGGAAACCCTTTTTCCCGGGGGGCTCCCCACAAGGACTTTTAAAAGGCTAGAGAGCAAGACAAGAATAAGCTAGCAGCCTCTGGGTCGTATGTGTCTCACACACTAAACTTAAAACTATCTCCCTTCAAACTTTTAAGGAATACACATCTGTCATTAGCACCAACAACCTCCTCGCTCCTTTCACTGACTATCACTGTCTCGTCCCAAAGCTTCAGTGAAGACAGTGACTCAACCATCAGTGCTATCTACTGTCTCTCTCTAAGCTTGAGCCAAGACACACACCACCACCACGACACTCACCACTGACATTTTAAAAGGTTGCAAGCTTTGTATTTCTTACGAAGAAAGGGAGAGAGTGAGAGGGCGAGAGTGAGAGGGAGTAGGGAGAGGAATATAGAGGGAAGGGGTCTGAAAGTGGAGGAAGAGGTGGGGGAAGAAGGGACTAGGGAGGAAAGTAGGGGAACGAAGGGAGAGTAGGCGAGATGGGGAGAGACTTAATATTATGTTGTTGGGGAAGCACGTGGACATTATGAGGTAATCAGCTTTGATTTAATAGACTAGTTCCAGTTCCTTGGACCAAAGACCCTACAGCATGAAAGGTGCTGAGAGAGCGAGAGAGAGAGAGGAGAGACAGACAGAGAGAGACAGAGAAACTCATTATAGTCATCAGGTCCATGGGCAGCAAGTTTGAGAAAGTAGGGCAACATCACGGTGAAGTGTGTCTTAAAAATGAGAAGAACTGTCAGCTGTCAGGGTTGTTGAGCACAATGCCCGAGACAGTGGTGCATACTCAAGGTGCGCTAGAGACACAACAACAACAACAAAACTCACCGTAGCCATCTGGTCTATGGGTAGTCTGTCAGGAAGGATCATCTCGAAGTCGATACACTGCTGACCGGAGCCGAAGCTGAGCCAGCGAGGGGAGGAGAAGGTGGCCTTCTGGCAGGCTGACTGCACCGTGCACCTGCAGGTCACAAGGTCATCAATTAGTGACATAATGAAGCTTGGCACTTATCTTGCACACAAAAAAAAGGTCACACAAAGAGGGAATTCACTTTTACTGTGGAGAAACTATAATACCAAACTTATGCAGACCTGTTGAAGGTCTCTGAGGATAAAATATACTAATATCTCCCGGGAAACAGGAACACACACTATACTTCCGTATATCACTAGCCACAGTTAATAATTTTGCATTTTTCCTATTTTTTTTTCTCCTATTTTGGCCTCATGAAAAATCCCTAGTGACACTTGAAAGCTTTGCCAGTTTTATCCATTTCTAAAGATGTTCTGATAATATATATATATATATATATATATATATATATATATATATATATTATATATATATATATATTATATATATATATATAGATTATATATATATATATAATATATATATATAATATATATAATATTATATATAATATATATAATAAATATAATAATATAATATATATATATAATATATATAATATATATATAATAATATATATATATAATATATATAATATATATATATATAATATATATATATATATATTTTAAAAATATATATATATATAAAATAAAATAATATATAATATATATATAATATAATATATATATATAAATATATATAAATATATTTTATTATATAATTATATATATATATTATTTTTTTTATTATAATTTTTAATAAAAAAAAAAAATTTTTAATAATATATATTTTAAATTTTAATAAAAATTTTTAAATAAATAAATTATTTAATTATATAAAATATATATATATATAATATATATATATATATAAATATATAATTTATATATTATATATAATATAAAATTATTTTTTAATACACACTGGCCGTTAAAAAAGGGGGGGGAAAAAAAAAAAAAAAAAAGGAAAAAAAAAAGAAAAAAAAAAAAAAAAAAAAAAAAAAAAAAAAAAAAAAAAAAAAAAAAAAAAGGGAAAAGAAGGGAAAAAAAAAAGAAAGCGAAAATTTGCGTATGCAATAATTTTGCAAAAAATGGGAACCTAACGAAAAAAATATATTTCATTGTGTTTGTTATTTAAAATTATTGTAAATTTACATAAAATAATTTAGTTGGATAAGGCTAAAAAAATGCGCTTGTTTAAAAAGGTTGGGAAATTTTTTAATTTTTTTTTGTTAAAAATTATTAATTTTTTTACATTAACATAAAAGGAAAAAAATATTTTAAAAACTTTAAAAAGAGAAAATTTTAGAAAGGGATTTAAATTTTAAAGATTCTTGTGAAACAAAAGACTTGGCAGACGATCAACATCCCCCATGAAAAGAGGGGTGTCCCTAGATTTAAAGACCATACAAAAAGTGTCGGGGGGCCCAGACTTTTAATGCCCCCAGCAACAAAAGGGGGGGATTCCAACAGCCCCCGGCAGTTTTCAAGCTGGCACGGAAAAGCACCTAAAGTGGTTCCTGATCAGCCGGGCGTGGCCCGTACTTGGTTTGCGTGCAGCAGCAGTAAAAACCGGGGTTAAACAGGCTTGACCCCCAGGGGGCCTGGTACAGCCCGGGCCGGGGGCGTTGACCCCCGGAAACTTTTCCCCCGGTAAACTCCGGGAAAACGACAGGAAAGAAAATACAAACAGTTCGGGAGAACCTTGAGTTTCCCCGAAATACCTTTATTTTTCTTCTGAGGAGAGAGTCCCCCCCCAGTTCTAGGATGGCCTTTATATATTATATTTATATAATTATATATATTTATATTATATATAAAAATTTTATATTTTATATATAATATATATATATGGGTTTTTTTTCTGGGAACATTTCGGATTTTAAATTTTAAAAATAAAAAAAAGGGGCTTTTTGAATCCGTGTGGGATCGTCCTGTCCCCCTTGGGCATTCAAAAGTGCTCGTAAAACCCCTAGAAACATTCTAGATATTAATTTACTAGTTTAGACCCAATGAAATACTCTAGCACGATTGTAGAAGTCAGTGATTCTTAAACCCGTAGCGTCTTACCCAATTGGCAAGTACCGGGTTTGGTATCGTAGCAAAGACCCCTAAATTGGCAAATACTGGATAGTATCGTAGGAAAACCGACAAATTGGGAAAAAAATAGGGGGTGGGAAGGATTTAGGGTATAAGGAAATGAAGGGGAAAGGGGGATTTTGGGGGGGGGAGGAGAAGAGTGAGGGGAAAAGGGGGAAGGGAAGGGGATGGAGAAGGGGGAAAAGGAAAACCCTGGGTCGTGTTATAATGGTGGCCGTAGAGGAAAGGGTTGCATGCAGAAGTAAAGGAGAGAACCCTCGGAGAGCGAGAGGGTCGGAACCCTTTTCCCCAATCGCCTAAGGTGAGGCAAAGGCAGGAAAGGGAAAGGGAAACCGGGAGAGAAATGGAGTGAAGGAGAAAAGAGGAAGGAAAAGGAAAGGAAGCAAAAAGATATCGAAATGGGAGATGTGAGTGAAAGGAGGAAAGGGTAGATGGAAGGAAAAATGAACGAGCCTTTGACGACACACGGAGTAGAAAAATGAGAGAAGAGGAGAGAGAGAGAGAAGAGAGAAGGAGAGAGAGAGAGGAAACCTTTAGGCCAGACTGAGCAACGAAGAAAGGAAGGACACCCAAAAAAGGGGTCATTAAGTTACGTTTAAGAAACTTGAAAAAAAAATGCATGAACGAATCCCACAATGGAAATATCTAGAAAAAAGACTTAAAAAAGAAAAGAGAGAGAGAGAGAAGGGAAGAGAGAGAGAGAGAGAAAAGGAGAGGGGGGGAGAGGAGAGGACCAAAAAAAGATTTTAAGAAGACCCGATTAGAGACAGGTGGCGTGTTTATGGTCCAGCTGAGCAATGTTGACAATGAACGGGGTGCCAGCTGCTTCTAACTCCAACCTCTCTCTCTCTCTCTCTCTCTCTCTCTCTCTCTCTCTCTCTCTCTCTCTCTCTTTCTTTCTTTTTCTCTTTCTCTCCCCTTCCCTCCCTGCCACTCACAGACTCAACTCACTACTAGACAGACTGTTTATATTCGTGTGTTTTACTGTACTAAGGCTGAGAGTCGCTCCGCGTATTGTTTTAGCTGTACAACGATGCACAAAGAAAACCTTAATTAAGACGCTCATTCCAAGGAGAATTTTAATTTTTAAAAACCCCAGCAGACGTCGCTTATCAAAATAGTTTGACTTAGAGAAAGAAACCACCTTTCCCATCATTCACGCTACAACTGTCTTGCCAAAAGTGAGACCCCACAATAAAATGTCACATTAGTTGCACTTGTGTCCTTTTACCTAACATATTGTCGATAATTCTACTAACATTATTACAATTATTATTGTTATTATTATTGCTGAAGAAGAGTTGAGGAAAGACAAGTGTTTGCAAATCTGCATGTACGGGAAAGATCTTTCCAATTATTAGACTTTCGCCGCTGACTAATTTTGCATGAATATTTTATCCTCATTAATTATGAGGCTGAAATATTAAGAAAATGATTTATTGTGCACCGTATGCCTATATACGGATATATACAGAAGGCGAAGGAGGAGGAGGATGAAGAGGAAGGAGGGAAAGAATGAGGAGACGAAGAAGAATAGGAAGTTCTGGAGGAGTACACCTCGAGGGTCATCGCTTCTCGCGGCCCGGTCCGTGACCGGCTAAAAGTTTTGACCAGTCTCACCATCACTCTCGTCAACGGTGACACACCATTTGTCCCAGTAACGACACAAGCAGCAATTACAACTACAACGTGAGTCACGACAACAGCGACAAAAACGGGGGAACAGGAACAGGAAAAGCATTAACCAAGACAGCAATAACAACACAAACTACAATAGCCAAAACAACAGGATCTCCCCCCCCCCTTCCTTCAACGTCTCTCAGACTTACTCCTGGTCCGGTAACAGGAAGAAGCAGAAGCAGCAACACAGCAGTAACAGCAGCAACACAGCAGTAACAGCAGCAACACAGCAGTAACAGCAGCAACACAGCAGTAACAGCAGCAACAAAAGACGCAACAGAAGCAGCGTTCTTTTTTTTTTTTACCTCATTCCCCTCGCCCCTCTCCTCCCCAGCACCCGTCACCCATCCTGATATGTAGTGTTGGCACCAACCTGTCAGGCAGTGGGCTCATGAGACAGAGGGAACGTTGCCGTCAGGTCCTTTTGCTTGACCAACCGCATGCTGGACGACCTAACTGGCCTAACCTGTATAACGAAGTGGCTGCCATGGTCCTGTTGAGGAGGGGGGAGGGGAAGAAACTCCCCAACTGGTTATTGTAAACAGAAGAGACCCGTCGCTGGATTAAGTTCTGGCTCGCATGAAGGGAAGGGACTGAGATACCTGTGATTGAGTTCGAGGTCTTGTCTACCCTACCAGCCCGGCCTCTGAACAAGATTCCTTCTACAGTGCCTGTTCAACCTGGCTTCACTACTTGTTCAACCTGGCTGTTGGACTGCACAGCCTGACTTCACTACCTATTCAACCTGGCTGTTGGACTACACAGCCTGGTTGATCTGGCACCTAGCAGAGCTAGTGATGCAAAACTGCACCAGAGTTTTCTTATTCTGTCCGTGGCGCCCTCGTTTGTCGCTCGATTTACTATTACGCTTCCAAATGTTTCACGCAAATTAGTTGCTATTGTAGTGTGTAGATGTGGGATCTGATCCTCCAATATAATTCAGGAATATATTTTCAAATATCGCTTTATTCACACCAGAGATAACCTTCAAAATACTTCCAGGAGTCTATTCAGGCAGTCTACCTGGAGGGTATTCCGGGGATCAACGCCCCCCGCGGCCCGGTCCATGACCAGGCCCCCCGGTGGATCAGGGCCTGATCAACCAGGTTGTTATTGCTGGCCCCACATAATCCAACAAACGGTTGATCCAGCACCGACTTTATTTTCGGCAGTAAATTATTCTTTGGACAATTTTTTTTTAGCTCTGATGTCTCCATTACACTGAACGGAGCCGTGATTATTGTGGAAACGCTTCGCCAATAAGTG